GAATATATATGATAGTCCGTGCGCTTTTCTATATACATACCAAATTTCAGATCGATATCTCGTTTTTTGGCCAAGTTATAGCGAAAAAACTGTTCAAAAAAGATGACGTCAAATTTTTGAACTCAATTTTTAGTGATTCTAGACGACGTACGGCAAAACAAAGACCACCATTGAACTCCCCGTGACGAGCTGCATCGATTCGATACCCAGTTTATGCAAAAATATCAACTTTGAAATTTGACCTAATTTGACCTGACCTTGACCTGACCTTGACCTGACCTTGACCAAAACGTGACCTAAGCTGGCCCCAAAGGCTGCCTGACCCACATAATCGCATTTGTCATGTAAAATGGACCATAAAACATGTATCACACGACACTTTCATATTGTGACCCCCCAGTGACCTGACCTCTGTGACCTGACCTGGTATCAGTGACCTCAAATAGCAAAATATGTGTTTGAAGAACATTTCCTCATCGATGATTTTCAATGAAATGCATTTGACTCGATTTTACAACGCATTTCTTGAAATGCCTGTAAACGGTGAAAATTGGACCTTTGACCTGACCTGTGACGTAATCGGTTTGACCTAGGTCAATAAAATTGGGTCACAAGGTAGTTCCCTGATAGGGCTATCCAACACCGTTTGCCGCTTGTCGCTAGGTTGCGTGGTTCTCGAGATCTTAGGGGGGGGCCAAAATGGCCCCCCCCCCCCCAAGAACATTTCCTCATCGATGATTTTCAATGAAATGCATTTGACTCGATTTTACAACGCATTTCTTGAAATGCCTGTAAACGGCTGCGTTGCTCGGCAGAGCCCAACGGGGCGCGGGTTAATCGCTCTAACATGACTGATGGCTTCACCAAAAGTTATTGTCGAAACAACTGCTGGTGACCTTTTATGGCCTCATGACCTGTTGGGTAACTTCTGGCTATCAATCACACCTCTTACATATGTACATCGCACATAAAGGTCTGTCATGTTTCTGAAAATATCTTGCGATTTTGACGTGGTTTTGACACGTTTATTCTAAGCAGGATTTAAAAAAAAAAATTGTTCCTTGCTTTATGATGGTTCACTGAGATCGCAAGTCTAACAGATAAGTATAACCCCAGAATCCAGATAGCCCCAGATAACAGATAAGTATCAAAACAGGGTTTCGTGTTTATAAAAGTTGTTCGTGAACTTGTTCGTGAACAACAGTTCATGAACTGCGTTTGTTTGTCTGCTTGCTTCTTTGTTTGTATTTTGTTTCTTTGATGCTTAACGAATTCTTTAATTCAAGGTCACATGTTCACGAACCATTATCTGTTTACGAGCAGTTCACGTTCATGAACGTTCATGAGCAAAGCATTTTTTTCTGATATCTTTCGCGTTATTAGTCGTATACAGTGACATACACGGTTGCAGGCATGTTTTATGTATTGTGCAAACGCATCAATCTTATCTCAAGCACATGGAATCGTGACTTATAATTATTCTTTCAACGCTGAGGCTTTAACTATGCATTTCCGACCTTGCATAGCGTCATGTAAGACGTCACTGGGGTTGTTTGTTGCAATCGGACTTTTTTGCTAATAACTCCCGCTCAAATTTAGCTGGCGAGTCGGTTGAGCCATCAATTGACTCAGAAACAACTGCTACATCGAATAGTAATGAAGCACGACATCCACCAAGCAGCTTTGTAACCCGAGTGGCTTTGACCTGAATCTGACCTTGATCTGAGGTCATCATCCTAAACTGACCTAACCCACACAAAAGTGTATCATTTGACGCGCCTGGCCACGACGAGCACGATGGTGCCACCATTGCTGCTCTGGCACCGTTTGTGGCGAAGTTATTTACCCAAAACTAAACCTCTACTCATTGGGACACTTGAGACTTACACTTCAGGACACTTCAGGAGTTACCGGTTAGCATGAGACCTTAAAATCGGATATCAGTTGCTTTGACTCGTAGCGAAGCAAGGGTCTTATCCACCCCTCTGCACCGTGTTCGCGAACAGTTCATAAACGTTCGCGAGCTGTTCTCTGGTTTTTTTTCGCTACAATTTGGCAAATGGCAGGTGAGATCACTTGTTCGCGAACAAAATTATTCGTAGACAGTTTATTTATGTTTGCTCATTTGAAAACAAAGCAAACACCAAACCCCGTATAAGAATCCCGAGAAATGCGATTTGTTGGTACTGATACTATATTTCAATGAAATTGACGGAGTTGTTTTGCGAATTGTTTTCTTTATTTTGCGACAGTTTTACCGACGTTACTAAGAGCATCAGAATTAAACCTTTGAGTTATTCACGTGACCTCAGTGGTCATCGGTTGACCTGAGACCTTAAATTAGGTGTCATTCGTCGTGTCCCATGACGGCAGACCCACTCGCTTACCCCAAAAGCTCAGTTTTTGGTGAAACGGTGGTGATGTCGTGTACCTACATGCGTCCATCTCGACCGTTTAGAGAAAACCGATAGGCATGGCCCGAGGTAGGTATGTGGTATGTGCACAGGTATACTTTGAGCATCGGCAATGATTAAAACATACTTGATAGCCGAAACGTCTGGTTGTTATCAATTTGGCTATTTTCATTGACTTTGATATAACCTTCACCTTGTCAAAGGAATAGAAAATAAAAGCAATAAACAATGAAAGAAAATTCCAATCCATCTAAAGATGTCACACATATTTTTTATCATATTGTAAAGAGATATAAATAACTCGAGTGTGGCATCAATTAGAATAGCCGTTCACCAATAGGTGAACGGCTGTACCTAATTGGATCGTCACGAATATGCCTATTCGTGACGATTCAACGTCTACGATTTATATTGATCCAAAATGTGGGCATATGGCGGGTAAGTACCTACCTACTTATCAGATGTTTATGCTACACAGAGTCAGATACCTATGCTGATGAGTGAGGTGTGATATGCTTGATATGTATGATATGCTTTGGTGTGCATGTGCTTTCCTCCTTATCCATGCATTGATTGCCTAAATACTTGGCTATTATTACCTTCCCTCAACCTGCCTCACGCTGCCAAACGGCCATTTACGCGTAAATTATCAAGTTCCTGACACCATATAATCTAAAAGTCCTCAAGATTGATTCAAATTGAACCTTGATTTGTGCAAAACACCTAGACACCATATCGATGCAGCGTATCGTAGTGCATTGGTACGCATCCCCTTTACACGGGGTCTGCACTAGAACATTTCGGCGTCTTCTCATTACACGTCTCACATTTTGTTGCACCGGCTACGCCCTCCTACTTACAATCCAAAGTGAGTGCACGTCCAGTCATAATATCCATCACTCACAGAGTTATACTCGTATGTACATACAATTATAGCGTCAATTACGCATCACTGCTTCCTCTCGATCGATTCATTACAGCCCTCTGCAGGCTGCGTGGTAGGTATTCTTTTTTCGACAAAACCGAGAATAGCTCGAAGGTTATGTTATCGGTCACTCGGAAATCGTAACACCACGACGCGCGAGGATCCACACCTTCGATTGTGCTCATCAATGCATACATTTTCTACCCAGTTTGGCAATAATACACAAATGTATATATTTATCCTAAAACAAATTTTTCCTTTTATTGTCACAATAAGCATATAATTTATTCTATGATACGCAATCGAAGGAGTGGAGTATGGCGCATCTCGTGCAATGAGTTCCGATCGACTGATAACATGGCCTCTTTACGAGCGAGCGAGCGCAGCGAGCGAAGTGAGTCTTTTCAATATAACGGAAAAATCTCAGTATGAGCGGCCCGGCCCGGCCCGGCCCGGCCCGGCCCGGCCTGTAACGCTTTTGAGATGCTTATATCTCAGCAACCGCTGGACCGATTGGCCTGCGGTCTTTTTTGTTGGGTAGCCCCATCCCTTCTATACCGTAATTGACTACTTTTGATACATCTCGGTGACCGTCGTGGCACGTGCCACGTGAAAAGTCAAGGGTGTTCAAGGTGTTTTGCAAAAGTAGTGATTTTGAGAGGCTCATATCTCAGCAGCCGCTTGGGCGATTGACTTGCGGTAATTTTTGTAGGGTAGCAGCATCCCTTCTACCCAAAATAGGATACTCTCGGTGTATGTGGGTCACCCCCAGTGCACGTGCAAAATACAACAATAGGAGGTGCCAAATTTGTTCCCATTTCAGTAACTCGGTAATTACTGGGGCGATTTCGCTGAAACTTGGCATACAGGTAGGCACCCACCAGGCAATGCATTCCCATGTGTTGCGGTTGGGGTGCTACTGCACGTGCGCACGTGCAGGGGGCGTTTCCAGATCTCGAGAACGGCTGGGCCGATTGCGCTCAAATTTGGTACACGGTTGGGGACCAGTTAGTAGGGTGCCGTGCAAAAGTCATTTTGGACCCCGTTTGCACGTGCGCACGTGCAGAATGCCGCTTCCAGATCTCAGGAACGGCTGGGCCGATTGCGTTCAAATTTGGCACACCGCTAGCGACCGGTTAGAAGGGTGCTTTGCGCAAGCCCGTTGGAAGCACCCTCTCGCCCTTCCGCACGTGCAGGGCTCACTATCTCGCTCGCTCGTTCTTCGCCCAAAAGGCGTTTTACTGGTATTATTATTGGTTTTGTTAAAAAAGAATACCTACCACGCTGTGAGATGGGGACTGTACACACTACGTACATAGTTTGCGTGTTTCAGTCGCAATTTATCACGTTTATTTGTTCACCGTCACATTGTCCCGCTATTGTTCGATCCAGTCTTGTGATATTAGAGAACCCCGCACATGATTTACACATGCATATGGATTTCCGTTTCTTATTTGTTAATTTAACAAAAAATCTCGACAGCTGGTACACCGTCGGTTTATTGTATTGGTTATGATAAGCTGATTATGAACGGACATTGGAAGAATGGACTGCCGCAAGATGTTTGCATTGAGCGCCAATGATACACACGACATGACATAAGTAATTAGCCAACCTTTTCGCCGACAAATTAAGGTCTCCGTAACCAGCTCCCAACTCACCTGGCCGTGCTCCTGATCAGTCCACGCGGAGAGATGACCGCCGGACTGCGCGCACTCACTGCATGGTCTCGGCTCCGCGGCCGACCGCAGTCGGCACCTCTGGCAGCACACCTGTCCGCCACCCACCACTGCCGCCGTACGACTTCACTCTCGGAGCACGGCGGTGCCCGCCCGGCCGGCCGGGCAGCCCGACCGACCCACTTCCTCGCCGGCCTTCAGCGCTCGTCGGCCGCCGCGCCGGACCAGATGTGGAATAGTGGTACGGCGACGCCGGCGGGCGCACGCGCCGAAAAAGAAAGTAAGGCCGGCAGCGTGGGAAGAGGAGTGCGGTGTCCATGTGGTTGGCGGCGGCCGCTCTGCGGTCAGTGTACGGTCAGCACACGAGCGGGGTGGGGAGAGTGAGTGGTGGTCGGGCGGCGCCACCCGGAACATCCAGCTGGATGGAAATGTGGCTTATCATAGACGTCAAGGTAAACGACAATAAACTCCAAACTGGCTTGACGTCTCATCTCATACCTCCTGGAAGCCTAGGCGTAGATACCCGTCAATGAATTCAAATCGATCAAGAGAATAGACATATCACCGTCCAAGTGATAGTCCAAGTGAAACAGGACTCAGGAGTGACGAGACAGATTCTCAAACCTTGTGTGGGTCAGTGGACCAGTTATTGAGGCTGACCCTAAATGAAGAGGATGGGGTAAGACCGGCAGTAGGTGAGATGGTCGGTGACAAGCAGTTGGCGGGCTAAACGGGTGGCCGTCCCGCGGTAATGGGAGGGCCAGAAGTGGTGGTTGTTGTTTGGGGTGCGAGCTAAGCTATGCAGTAGGCAGCGGTGGGCGGGTCGGTGACCGCGGTGAGCAGGTCGGTGACCGCGGTGGGCGGGTCGGTGACCGCGGTGAGCAGGTCGGCGGCCGGTGTCGTGGGCGGGTCGTTGGAAGGTGGTGGGTGGTCAGGTCGTTGGAAGGTGGTGGGTGGTCAGGTCGTTGGAAGGTGGTGGGTGGGCGGGTCGGTAGAAGGTGGTCGGTGGGCGGGTCATTGGAAGGAAGGTGGGCAGGTCGTTGGAATCTGGTGGCTGAGTCGGGTCGGTAGAAGGTAGTGGCCAGTAGGTGGTGGGGGGTCGGTGGCCGGTGGTGGTTATTCTGGCGGTGACTGAACTTTTGTCTGTGCTGGGTGGGTTATGTAGTGACCGTTGCACTGGTGGGCGGTAGATGGGCGGGTCAGTGGCCGGTGCTGGACGGGTCGGTGGGTCGGTGGGCGGTGGTGGTTGTTTCAACTGCCGACTGTTGGGGTGGGTGGGTCGCCGGCCGGCCGGCCCTCACCCGTCGGTCGCTGCACCTGGCCGCCCGTCGGCCCACATCGCGCGTCGGATCTGGAGCGGCCCAGGAGAAACCGTCCGGCCCGGCGCGTCCCGAATATGGCACAGCGCTCCGACACTCGCTGGCTTACTGATCTGGAAACATGGTCACGCCGGCGCTGGCGACGGCCGCCCTTTGTTGCGTGGTGTTTCAGGACATAAGCCGAGCACTCAGCCGACGCGGTAACCGCGAGTTCCTTCCTCACCGGCGATGGTGGGCAATAGAGCAATTTATGAGCAGCAATATGTTGTGTGATCTGCCACGCGCACTGCCGTGGCACGGCGACTGTATGTACGAGTACGTCTGACCACGCGACCTCCGTAAGCTTGGAACATCTTGACACCCTATAACCGACGAGCCTATCGCGAAATAGCCAAGCATGGGTGACGCGAACCGTTTATTAGCTTATAAGTACCGCCGTCTTTTTAATCTTCGGCATCATCCGACCAATTGCTTTATCTTTTTTATTGTAGGTACTCCGGTCTATGTAGAATGTGACCATTAACCGGAAAAGAAATAAAGAGGACCTCTCGTAGGTTCAGCATAAGCCTCGTTGAGTTGAAAATAAAAGCGCGACTCGCTTGTCTGCCTCTGGTTTAGGAGTTCATTCCTCGCGGGCCCGCGGCTGTGCACTCTTAAAATATCGGTATTGATGTTCGTTGTCATATGCACATGCTTCTTAGTAGGTACTTACCTGACTAGGCATATAGGTACGGGCCGATCGTTTTGTCTTAACCCATGCCCTCCACATAGAAATACAGTTCGTAGCCGTACATCTTTAAGGAAGACTCTATGATTTCTCCCCTTTCATCAAAAGCCGAATCAACAAAATCCACTCATATTATATTTCGTTTGGTTACGACGGGGAGGTTTCCTTTGGCATTGCAAAACCACAACTAATGATGTTGTCCGAGGATGTCGAGGATAGTGGGTATCTGCTGTCGAGCAATGGCAGCCTAATACATTGGGTGTTTGTTCCTGTCAAACATGTTTAATATCAGCACCAAGGGAAGTGTCCTATGAAAATACAGGGTCACGGCACATAAGCAGGCATGTCATACATTTCTGATTTCACATACACATCTCGCAGCTCCAAAGCTGCCTAAGAAGGGATTGCATATCACGACCACATACTGACCACGTTCACATACAGCCGGCACGTCGGCATTCACATCGGTCCCAGCAGGCGAGCGACAGAGAACGACAGGCCACCTCGCTTTTCGCCGCCTACCGTGGCGTCATCTACAATGGCTGAGCTGGCTGGCGCCCCAACTACAGGTTCCGACCCCGCCGCCAGGGGCAGGCCGAACGCTGAGCGCTGGGGAGCGCCGCAGCCGGCGGACGTCGGGGGATATGGGCGACTCCTGTCCTCTGCTGATGAGCCGGAGCTCTCCCAGGCCGGTGACGGGGTGCGGGCCTGATCAGCTCCAGGGGAGAGGCTCAGTGGCTGTGAGCAGGCCGAGCCCGGTGAGCTGGTAAGCTGTGAGCACGCTGAGCCCGGTGAGTTGACCAGCTGAGGACAGGCCGTCTCGGCAGGGAGCAGCAGCGGCCTGCCGAAGTCGGGCCGCGGCCCCAGGCTGAGCTGCTGCAGGGTGGGTGCTAGGTACAGCGGCTGTAGAGCGGCCTGCAGCAGCGGCAGGGGCCGCAGCGGCAGCAGACGCGCCAGACGCGCCAGCGCGCCATCCGCCGCCAGCTGTGCCGGCGGTGGTGGCGGAGGGGGCGGTGGTGGCGCAGCGCGACGCACCATGTTCTCGTACTCCTCACGGAGAGCTGCCGCCTCCAGCTGGGAGTCGGCCAGTGCGCGGCGCCGCCGCAGTTTGTCGGACATGGGTACCTGCAGCTGACCGCAGCGCTCCTGGCCGGGGAGAAGGCGACCCAGTCGGGAACGGTAGCCTGGGGAGAGAAAGGGCAGTAGTGTCAGGTCGTATCACACATAGTGAAACAGACCTGAGGTCACGTAGGTTACAATACCTATTTTTTATGTCAAGTTCAAGCAGATCATGTCTCTTAGTTCAAACGGGTCTTATATCAAAGGTCACAGTCACAAGACAGATCCACGATATCACAAAGGTCATACGACACACTTTTGAGGTCACACAGTACCAATTTGATCAGTGAACATTCTTTTAATCGGTCTCACTTTGACAGTGAGAAGACTGGTCACTGCATGTCAATGAGACAGGTATTTGTGAAGAACGGACAAAACTGATCAGCGAGACGATACCATGAAGACAGGGATAATAGGATCGTATCGTTGTATTTTCAAGCGCAGAATGACAATGGAATATATGCGATGTGCATACTGAGCAGGCGTCCACCGCGTCCAGAGCGTTCATGGAAGTTGTATATGAAAGGCAAAACAGATCTCTAGTCTACATGCGTATTGTTGGAGAGCTGTTCCGTGGTTATTGCAGGGAAAAACAAATTTCTAACTCTTTTGAATATATGCATAATTTGAAAATAATGTCTTCTAACTGAGCAGACTTCTTTAAACAGACTTATTCTAACCCTATACGCGCTGAGCGTTAGGGTAAACGGCAAACGCACGGTACGTCAGGCGCTCGCCACCACCGATTCGCATTTCGCCGGGACCGTCGCTCGCTCCCCTACTGTCATATTGTGGAAATCTGAGACGCATTCCGAGTCTCGCCGTCACCCCGTCTGGCCCGCCGGTTTCCCGTCGCCGTCTGGGGACTGCCAGACGTTCTGACGTCTCTGTCCGAGTCCCCCAGTCTCTGCGGCCCCCTCCGGCCGGCCCGCGCGGCTGAGTGTCGCCCCGCGCGGCTGAAGTGTCGCCCCGTTTCCGAGGGCGATATATTAGGTGAGGTGATTAGCGGGTGCGGCCCACAGCCGGTCGCCGGTGTCGCGGAGGACAGGCCGACCTCAGGACGGTGTGTCTCCGGCCTCACTCGGCGTGTCGCCGGCCGGCGGCGGCACCTCTCATCAGCGGCGGTGGCACGCGCCGACCGACCGGTCATCAGCGTGTCACCACAACGGATGTCTCTGTCCCGGCGGCGGCCGTTCCGGGTCGTTTAAACCTGAAGTAGGCGACGGCGGCGGCTATTCTGACACCGATGTCGTCGTCTGTTGGTCGTGCTTTGATGCCTCCCCGCTGGCGGCGGGTTGGGATGCCAGCCGAGGTGCGGTCACTGAAGGCACCTTTCATTGCGGTGTCGTCAGTCACTGTCTCTTGTGACAGGCAAACTAAAGAAATGGAGAACTGGGAGACTGAGAATTGGACTCTCAAACAAATCGGAGCTGTGCGGTCAGTGATACAAAACGATGTAAATGTGACTGCCCCAACGACACCGAAGAGCAGGATTCTTGAGGACAGTGCCACTTGCCAGCGCCACCGGCCAGGACTCCACGGTCTTCCCATTAATACCTGTCACTGTGTCTCGACCCTCACCCACTGTGTCTGGCTCGTGAGAGGCGCATATTTCACCGGAAGGATGTTGAGTGCGTTCTCCATCGTCTGGCTAACATGATCGGAGGGGAGGGCCCGATGGAGGCACGTCAGGAATGTTGCTGTCCTGGGGATCGTGCGCCTCCCCTCGCCGGTATTGCGGGACATCCGCGACGCTGGCTGCCCCGCCGACAAGCGGGAATCCACCGAAATGCGATGCAGTTTGTCCGAACAAGGCGAACTGATGCAGCCTATGTGGACTGTATAAGAACGGGCGGCTGACTTTGCACCGCCGTGTAATTGTTGGATGATGACCTTGTGGTTTACAATAACGGTACTGTCTCCGAGTAGCAAACAAATGACAATCAGCAACATGACCTTTCGGTATAGGTACGGCTCTCGCGAGATTAAGCGGTAGGTTTTGCACTTTTACATTTCCGGTTATATCTCACAAACTAATCGATCTACGATGAAGCCATTTTACACGATCATGGCCGGTTTGTTACCCAACAAGTCAATCACATCTTCAAAACTTAAAAGCTTAAGACGACGAAGATATAGCCTGAAGAACACTAAATTTTCTAGGTGCAAAACCTACCGCTAAAACCCGCGAGACCTGTACGTTCGTGCCCGTTAGACGGTGGTATTTCGCGTCGTAAGTATGAACGCAACGTATATTTTCACCAGCCACTGACTTCTGAGTGTCAAGAAGGCAAGAAGAAGGCCTAAATAACCGTTTTCACGACGGCCATCTGGTACACATTTGGTGAAAATTAGGTGCAGATTCGGTCAAAGTAGGTTCAGTATGTTTCTTAGTTGCTATCAGCTAGAGTTTTTGTCAAATTATCAGACATTAGGTATCATTGATAAGAACACTGAAATAAATTCATGATATGAAGAAATTTGCTGTAAGAGATTTCGTGCAGATTTGGTCAAATTGCATATAGGCCAAATTGCATATAGGGAGCGCCGCGGATGGGGGAGACAACGCAACCTGTGGCGCCTGGTCCTCTGCCGGCGGCCGCCTCAGCTGCGGCCGCCGCGGCCGGTGCGCGGCCCGCACATAGAACGCGGCGCGGTAACCGGCCGGGACGTGTGCGCGGCCCGAACGGGTGGCAGTCGCCTCACGTCCGCGGCGGCTTCTTGATTGGTGCGTTAAACATTCAGTCAATGAAACCGAAACTTCTTGAGTTAAGCCACGAACTGTGTAAGAGACGTTACGACCTGCTATCCGTCACTGAGACCTGGTTGAAGCCCAGCACTCCCAACAGACTGTTGAGCTTCCCGGGCTACCGCGTGTTCCGCGCTGACCGGCCCGACAAGTCCGGCTACGGAGGTGTCGCAGTGCTGTGTCGTGACGCGATTGACGCCTCCGTTATTACGGTCCCGCCGGCAGCCAACCCGTCCAGCAAGATGGAGTCACTGTGGCTGAGTGTCGGGTCGGGTCGGCGCGGCCACCAGTTTGTTTTGGCAGCGGTGTATCGGCCTCCGAGACGGACTGTGGCGGCTCTAGAAGCTGATTTCGAAACTTTGGAAACGCAACTGCAGCATGTGATGATTAAATTCCCCGGTTCCAAAGTAGTCATAAACGGTGACTTGAACTGTAATATCCTAGCGGACAGCTCCGATTCATCTCGGCAAACACTTGTGAACTTTCTTAGCATTTACTCTATGTCGCAACTAATTGTCGAGCCAACATATGCTACAGGATCCTTGCTGGACGTGATTATCGTGAATGATCGCGACATTATTAGGAAGAGCGGCACTAGGGTGTGCGACATCAGCCCGCATAAGTATGTTGTCGCGGCGCTTACCATCCCTCGCCCTCGTGCGAAGCCCGCGGTTGTGAACTGCCGGCCGCTAAACCGGGTGAACGTAACGGAGTTGCATGCCAGCCTACATCGGGCAGACTGGCAGGCCGTTTACCGCGAAGGCCGCTGTTCCGACCAGTGGCAGCGCTTCTTGGACATTTTCTTACCTATTCTCGACCGTTTTGCACCGATGAAGAGAGTTACCATTCGAAACCCAGACGCCCCACATGTGACAGAGGCCACGCGTGAGTTGATGTGTCGGCGGCGCGCGGCCCGTGAGGCCCGGCGGGGCGGTGACAGCGGCAGCGCGGCTGAGTACCGATCGCTGAACCGCGCCGTGAAATCCGCCATACGCCGGGATGTGCGAGCAAAGGCTCCGCCACCGGGGGGGACGGGTGGGACATGTCCCCCCCAACCAAAATGTTGGGTGGGACATACTATCTTTTGTCCCCCCAATAATCGGCTCTCCCGCTGGTAGATAAATCGACTCTTGTTCCTGACACCGAATACAGAACATAGGTGCAAAGAATCTCCGAAGAAAAAACGTGATGAGAATCTAATTAACCTGTCGTCGATAACTATACCTATTGTCGCTGTGCTTTTTTAGTCTTTTTCTGTTATGGGGCCTAGGAGTTCAGGTTTTTTTTTAGTAGATCATATCGACAGGCGTTTTCGCGTTAGGTATATCAACGTGAGTCTACTGACGAATGTTCGCAATCATTCGGCCCATTCCGATGATGAATCCAGTAGGTATAGGTATCCAGTAGGTATATCCAGTAGGTAATCCAGTAGGTATATCAGATAAGGATCTCTCAATCAATTAAACGCTCAATACGGAGATAATTCTTTCGGGTAAACGCGTTCGTTCTTTTAGAGGAAACTTCCAGCTGTCAAATAAGAATATTGCAGAACTGTAGGATGAGAGAAGCTGTTTGTTTCCAGTGTTTGAGAGGTTAACCCTCGTTCTTATGGTGGGTCGGATTGACCCACACCCACCCCTCAGTTTTTCGCAAGTACATAACTCGCGTAATAAGTGGTTTATCGTGTCGAAACTATTAGTATTTCCCGGGAATTTTACACATCCTCTGAAAATTTCATGATCCTAACCCCCATGGGCCATGACTTTTGGGCCTGTAGCCTATTTCTCCAGACCATGTCAGGCCGAAACACCGATTCGGTGTATGTCAGCGCACATTATCTATACGTTTCCAGACTTGTTATGTCATAAAACCGAGCCAACATGTTGAAATGACGGTAGACACATGCAATTATGGTAGGTGTCAAGGTCACATGAGTATCAGGTCAAGGTCATTATACCGTTAGATGAATTTGGTTCACTTTTTCGAGTTAGGCATGTTACTAGGAAACGTTTTGGGGATGATGTCGAATTAACCCTCGCCGGCCGAGGGGGGGGGGGTGCCGCCCCCCCATAGGGTTTTTTTCGCGATAGCTCCGAACACGCTGGCGATAGAGAGCTGAAACTTGGCATACCTGACCTTTGATTCAAGCCGGATCTTTTGACACCAACTGCATTTTTGGATCAGGTCAGGTCGACGTCATAAGTGAACCTCTGCACGGTCTTCAGATGTCGCAACTTCGCAACGCCCTGACTGCCTGAGATGTCACAAGGAAATGAAACTTGCAGGATCTAGTATCCATTATGAGTCTCACAACTTGTATATCTCGTATTTTTCCTAAAGGTCATATGAGGTCAGGTCATTTTCGTGACCTCACCATTATAAGTCAATGGGGAAAAATGAAAACTGCTATTCTGGCGCCGGGAACGATCTCCAAATATCTCAAGCACACAGAATCGTGATTTGATGCACTCCTTGCAAGGTTAGATGCGTCACTTTTGCAATGTTGACCTTGCGTGACGTCATTTATGGCGTCATCAAGGTCATATTAGTTTTTCGTCAATAACTCTTGATCAAATTGAGCTAGCGAGTCGGGAAAGCCACCACTGGACTCAGGAAGACCTGCCGAATCGAATGATATGCGACATGACCTCTTTCAACCAGCTTCGTGACCTGGGGGTGCTGACCTGACCTTGACCTTGGGTCAACACCCCAAGTTGACCTGACCCGGACAAAAAGTATATCATTCGACGCGCCTGAGCGAGGCGAACACGATGCGACCAAAATCGCGGCCCTGTGGCCTTTTTTTGCGAAGTTATTCACCAAAAACTCAACCGTACCCTGGGCCACTTGACCTGACCTCAGAGGTCACCGGTTGACCTAGGACCTTAAAATCGGTACCAATCTCTGCGTCTCGTAACGGCGCACACGCTCGTTTTTTCCGCGACGCGCTAGCTCCACCAGGGGCGAAACGGCGATGGGGGGGGTCGTACCCGCCCCCCCCCCTCGGCCGGCGCGTATGTAGAAAACCAATAGGTCCGGCGAGGGTTAAGCATCCATTTGAACATTAAGAAGTAGTTTTGGTACCAATGCAACATGTTACTTACGAAGCCGTCTGTGGTGGTTGACACCTTTTTTGGCTAGCCGGCGGGACACGCACTTGTTGATCTCACCTAACCTGACCCGATCTTCGCCAAATGCTAAAAATGGATTCAGATTCAGCGCAAAACTATGAGCTACATACCAGTAAAAAATTGAAGTTTGTTTTTCAAGTTTTTTTCTGTCTGGTGTGTCAATATGAGGAAGGTACAATCAAATATTGGGTAATATTGCATGGGTCAGGTGGCCTACCATTTCTCTATTTTATTTCTTTTTTTCTAATTAAAAAATCATCGTATCAACTATCAGGGCTATGACGAAAAACAAGTGGCCTAAATCCGATGAGAAAACTGGATTTGGGGGTACCCTAGGTTTAGAGGAGATACTAGGGCGCGGATGGGCGAAGAGCAGACCGTCCCCCCCAACCAAAAGTCCGTGGCGGAGCCCCTGTGTGCGAGAAAACTTAGGGCAGCGCATAGTGGAACAGGGCCCGACTGCTGTGTACCGAAATATTAGGCAAGTCATCGGCAATAGCAAGGGCGTGCGTGCTACGCCGACAGTCAGCGCTGATGCGTTAAACGAGTATTTTGTCGGCGTCGGGCCTAACGTTGCTAGGGAGCTTGCCGAGTCGGGTGTGACCTCCGCAGACGATATATGCCGTGTCCCGCGTGTTGGCTCGTGCGGTTTTACTGTTGGTACCATCGATTACGACACACTCAGACGAACGATTGTCGGAATGCGTAACACTTCGGCCTGTGGCATGGATGGTTTATGCATACGCACCATCAAGCTATGTTTCGACGCGATTGGAGTGCCGTTGCTGAACATCGTGAATACCTGTCTGTCAAACTGTGCTTTCCCAGAGGCGTGGAAACAGTCAATAATCCATCCTATTCACAAATCCGGTCCTTGTTCCAACCCAGCCAACTTCAGACCTATTTCCTTAGTCCCCGTCATGTCCAAAATCGTCGAGAAGGTCGTTCAGCGTCAACTCTATGCTTATTTGTCATCCAATCATCTCTTAGCTTCAGCTCAACACGGTTTTAGGCCACGACACTCAACAGAAACTGCATTGCTCAGCGTATCCGACCATATTTTATCTGCGACAGACAGAGGTGATCTTACTCTACTCTGTCTGATAGATTTAAGTAAATGTTTTGACGTTATCGACCATTCCAAACTATTGACCAAACTAGAGCAGCATGGAGTTGACGCTGAATGGTTCCGCTCTTACCTATCAAACCACACACAGAGTGTTTCCATCACTGACCCTGTTTCTGGTCGAAGGTGCCTCTCGCGACCGCTGCGAAACAGTGTGGGGGTGTACCAGGGGTCTGCCCTCGGGCCATTGTTGTACACAGTGTTCGCCAATGACCTGAGCCTCTGCGCGCCTGATGCCCATGTCGTCCAATACGCCGATGACACGCAAGTGCTTGTGTCCGGCGGTAAGGATGACATTGCGGCTCTGGTAGGGCGCATGGAGAGCTCCCTCACGTCTTTGGACGTGTGGTTCAGGGCTAATGCCCTGAAGGTGAATGCCTCGAAAACCCAACTAATGGTATTTGGCAGCAGGCCGAACCTCCGCAGTGTCCCCACGATCGAGGTGCGTTTCCGTGGCGAGACTCTACGCCCGGAACGGAGTGTGAGAAACCTCGGCGTGATATTCGACCCTACTCTGTCATGGGACGAACACGTGGCACATGTCGTGCGTAAGTGCTTCGGAATGTTGATTGCCCTCAGCCATATCCGGCATTACCTCCCTCAGAGGGTGATACCAACAGTTGTGCACGGTCTAGTACTTTCTCACGTTAGGTACTGTATAACTGTGTTCGGTAATTGTACTGGCAAAAATCATAGGCAACTCCAAAAGATTATTCACTTTTGCGCGAGAGTGGTTGCTGGGAGACGCAAATTTGACCATATTTCGGATATTTTGAAAGGTCCTGACTGGTTTACATCTACACAGCTGTCGGATTACCACACACTTTCTCTAGTCCACCGAACACTCCGGTGGGGAGAACCGGCTCCACTTGCCTCACTTTTTATCAAAAGCTCGAATTTACGTATACGACAAACGCGACAGGACAACAGTTTTTACCTACCTCGCATCCGATCGGAGGCAGGTAGACGCCAGTTTGCGTACCGGGCACCGCAGCTTTACAACGGTGTGCCGGTGGAGCTGACTGCCCTCAAGCATGATGCCTTCAAAAAGAACTTGCGTCTTTACCTCAAGAGAGAGTACGAGTAGGTGCTGTTCCGGTATAGTTACGCCACGCCGATGAAAAGCAGACGAAGTGCTTTCAATTAAAGTTTAACACGTGTTTCTCAGTCAGCAGTCTGTGGTGAGCCATGGACAAGCCGAAGACTTGGATAAGATTCAATGCACAGTTGGACTACTGTCGGTTGTGGTTTAAGGTCGGGCCAATCGGTGCATCTAGTACAAACGGAACATCCCTCGACGTGCTGACTGCTGAGTATGCGATTTTTAGTTGAAGAGCATCTCATCGTGCCTTAACTGCGAACTACGGTACTCACTCTGGAGGAGGTCCCGGGCCAGAGTGCTCTCTTTGAGTGTCCTCAGGTGGTTGTGGTAGAGTTTTCGCTGCGCTACCAACGCCTGGGAGGTGCGCGGTCTTCGGTCGGAGCCGGCGCCGGCCAGCTCGGCCGACTGGTGCCTGCAGCAGAGACACAGCGTCAACAGCTTGGAGAAACACAGATACACACAAAGCATGGATACATGTACAGAGCGTCAGCTATTGACAGACACAGCAAATAACATTTTTGGATCCGATTGTGTGCGCAACTAGTCAAGCTTCTCTGCTTGTGTTAAAATGTTAGTTTTATTTCTCTTTCTTCTCTGTCTCAATCACGAGTTCTTAACAAACCATAAAAAATTAGTGTTGTTCTCCGCTTGTTCTACCCGATGTTTTTCTTGTCGTCAGCTAAAAACTATGCGTCAACAATCGGCTCGGCTGTCGGGAGTGACAGAGGGTTCCGTCCCTCCCGCTGTGATCGGTGCCACTCGACAATACGCTGCAACTCTGCGGCATCGACCCACCGACAGACGACGGTCACCTGGCGCAGTTTGGATTGGCACCGCCCGACGCACAGTCACGGTGGTCCTAACGATCGCTAGTTGGTCGATGGCTGCATGGTAAAGTATGACGAAACAATTGTCACTACATGTAGTAAATCCTCAGTGAAAACTGACCATGTCCCGTATTAAATTTCTGTGGGGTGGTCCCAACTCCCAGCGCACAGACTTTCCCAATGGGATAGGAGCTCTTCTACCACAGTTTGCACATCAACCTGTTGGCTGTGTGGTTGGCCGGGATTTCCACAAGCGCCTATGTATCTCCCCATGTGCGTTGGGTCCCACCACAGCCAATGGAGCCATCCCTGCGTGCGGTGGGTCCCACCAGAGACAGCATTCCTGGGGTTCCGGTCTGCTGTCCCGCATCACTGACAGGATCTGCGCTGCGACTTTTTCCGAGTCGCAAGACACAGCTGTCGTCGATTCAGCGCCGCGGGGGTTCCGAACACAACCAATCAACGGTCAGACAAAAACGACGCCAGTTGCACAACTGTGTGACAGCCGGATGGGTGGCGCAGTTGTTTTAGTTTGCATTGTCACATCCAGCAAGAGTTGTCTTGTCTGTAGACAGACGAGGAACATTCTGCCTAGAAGACTTCTTTCGTTCATCGGTTCGGAAGATCGTACCGAGTAATTCTGCCTGTTGCCGATCTGTGGCGTTGTTGTTCGTCTCGCTACCTTCCAGGCGCTGCTCTGTGCCGATGCCGTGTATCCGGTTCCGCTCTCTCAGTCGGCACCGCTCTCCGGCCGGCGGCGGGCCGGTTTTTAGCAGGCCAGCGCGGGTGGTCCTCCGCCAGCTGGGCGAGCTCACCGCTCCGACGGCGCCACTTATCCACCGGGCACCGGCGCCTCAATGGCCGGCTTCTTCCTGGGCCGGCTGACGGTCTGTGTCAACAGAGGCCGCGCCGGCACGGGCCGCGCCGGGTCCGCACCGGCTGGGCCGTGTCGCCGCCCGGGAGCGGCCGCGCCGCCGTAAATTCGCGTGTTTATCCCGGCCCAGCCGGTGACGAGCGGCCGTCCAACTGCTGTTGCCACTTGGTCAGGAGTAACGACTGGTGGGCGCCGTGCGCGGCACGCCGCCTGTTTATTTGGGCCGACAATAGATACAATTGGGCGAGCTGCGAGCGCCTCTGACGGCGACTGGGGGCTGGTGGGACAGGTGGCCCCCAGCCCCCCTCACCCAAGGTAGATCGTCACTCAGACAGCTGAGCTGGCCATTCACTGAATATACTCGAACCCCTCCGGCTCAGAAACTGCAGACATTACAAACGTAGCAGACAGAGGAGAATGTTTCCATCTGTTCTCCTCTTCCAACAGCTGCGCGAACTGAGTTCAAGCTAAACAATACGGTCATCGCAGTTTCTTTTTCGCTAATTTACAACCACTGAGTAACGGTTTTCTTTTGTTTGGAGTTTGAGGTATGCCCCAGAGTAAATTCAACTTAAAAGGAGCATGAAATGATAATTAAAGCATCAAAAATGGACACAAATCTTAGCTATCGCAGTGAATCCTTTAACACCGGGGCCAACGAGGTCCCTTATATGTGCACGCAGTATTCCACGGATTTCGTGTGAAATAAAAACGCATCTGACCGCCAAGCCGCCAGTATTTAGATTGCAGCGAACTCAAACATAGACAATAACTACCAGTAAAACGCCTTTTGGGCGAAGAACGAGCGAGCGAGATAGTGAGCCCTGCACGTGCAGAAGGGCGAGAGGGTACTTTCAACGGGCTTGTGCAAAGCACCCTTCTAACCGGTCGCTAGCGGTGTACCAAATTTGAACGCAATCGGTCCAGCCGTTCCTGAGATCTGGAAGCGGCATTCTGCACGTGCGCACGTGCAAACGGGGTCCAAAATGACTTTTGCACGGCACCCTACTAACCGGTCCCTAACCGTGTACCAAATTTGAGCGCAATCGGCCCAGCCGTTCTCGAGATCTGGAAACGCCCCCTGCACGTGCGCACGTGCAGTAGCACCCTAACCGCAACACATGGGAATGCATTGCCTGGTGGGTGCCTACCTGTATGCCAAGTTTCAGCGAAATCGCCCCAGTAATTACCGAGTTACTGAAATGGGAACA